ATTTATATATTAAAATCACTCATAATTTTCCCCAATGTAAAAATGATAGCATTACACAAACTGCATAACTTTAATATATTATCCAGTAGCTATGACCACATCACAAGATTTTATTTTTCCCTTTTCTTTTGAAAATAGGCAATGGCACACCCCAAGATTTTTTCATTTTTTCTTTTGAAACTGGTACACCCCAAGATTATGTCGTAGTATTATGGATGGACAAAAACCGCCTAGGGTTTCTTTGGTAGGGTCGGGTTGGGTTAGGGATGAATGTATTTTTTTTTAGGTTTTTTTAAGATAATATAAGTATTTGAATTCTTGACCTAATTAATTTTATTAGTACTTAAATTGTCCCATTCACACACAATGGACAAAGCTTCCTCTCCGTCAATGCTCCCATGTTTTTTTGCTTTGTGGGTTTAGTCAATGATTTTACATTGAAAATTATATGGCCAAATGGTCCATTCAGCATGACAAAGTCCAAAGAAAAAAAAAAAAGTGGATTAAATTAAAATTATTGGACCAACCAAAACTTAGTGTTGGTGGTGTGGGATTCTGCTCGCCATACTCCTTTTCCCTATAAAGGCAACCGTACACAATTCTAGCCCCCCTTTTTTCTTTTTTCTTTTTTTTTTTATCAAACCTTAAAATTCATCTTTAAAAAAATATCAATAGTAACACATTTACTTTAAATCATAAATCAATATAAATTATTTTTTTAACGAAAAATATCAAAATTTTATTTTTTATATCAATATTTTTTTTAATAAAAAATATTAAAAAAATAATTTATATTAATTTATAATTTCAAGGGATAATTTACCCCTCTTTTTTTTTTGTTTAAAGATAGATGTATCTATTGATACTTTTTGATAGTAGATTTGAGGGTTCCGCCTCTTTTTGTGGTTTTGTGCTGTGTTGGAAAATGTAACGAAGGCTTCTGCGGTTATCAAAACATTTTACAAATTTTACAAAATTTTAGATCCATGATTTGGAAAGAAATTTCTAGAGTAGTTGTTTTGAAACAAATGAAAAAAAGAGTAGAGTTTCGTTGAACTATATTAAATTATATTATATAAATTATTAAATAAGAGTAAGTTTTTGATATTTAGAGTTTTTTTATTTAATAATTTATATGTTATAGTTTAATATAATTTAAATTATAAAATAATTTTTTTTTTTTTAAATATCTTTTAATATATCAAGCATTTTGAGAGGGTTTTGGGAATGGGATATGCGGTACCATCTAATTATACAATAATGTGATTTAATTGTAAAATATTAAATTTGAGTTTAATTATAATATTTATATAAATATTAAATTATTTAATTTTATGTTTTTATATACTTTACAAATGTAATACTTTTAACATATTACAGTATCCATATTGATCTTGTAACTCTTTTTTTTATATCAATAAAAATATATTTCTCATAGAAAAATCATAAAAGTCGACCAATTCATGGTAAAAATGATTAGTTTTGTTGAGTTTTCCTTTTTGGCCTTCGATCGTTTGGTCTTCCTAAGTGTAAGTGTAATCCATATGTGCATAAATAACATAAATCTTGAAATAACATTTTATGATACAAAGAATTCTAATAATCATTAGGCTTGTATGGATTGAAGTTATTCGTTTAGTAAATTGGTGCACTGAAATTGAAAGAATACTTATTTGAATTGAAACACCTAGTTACTTATTTATTTTGAACTAATAAAATGCATTTATTCATAGTCTAAGGAAATTTATTCACATAATAAAGTAATGCTATTTGATCTTTTGGTTAGGAACACAACTTATACAAGCACCAACAGCTCTTCAATAACATAGGTTGTGTTGTGTTTGAGGTTAGAAAAATTATTTGTGTACACTCGGTTCAACTCATTTTTTTGACACATTTTTAATTTAATTATTAAAAATATAATATAAATACAATTGATTTAATCAGTTTATGCATCCTAT